GAGTTCTAACTGTTGCTTCCTGTCCCCCATATAGATTTCTCAGGAGGTAGATAAGGTAGTCAGACACTCCCATTCCTTTAAGGACTTGCCAGTTTGTTGTGGTCGACACAGTCAAAGGCTTTTGCACAGTCAATGATGCAGAACTAAATTTTTTTTTGAATTCTCTGGCTTTTGCCATAATCCAGCGCATGTTAGCAATTTGGCCTCTAGTTCCTCTGCCCCTTCGGAATCTAGCTTATACTTCTGGGAATTCTCGGTCCACATACTGCTGAAGCCTGCCTTGTAGGATTTTGAGCATAACCTTGCTAGCGTCTGAAATGAGTGCAATTGTACAGTAGTTGGAGCATTCTTTGGCACTGCCCTTCTTTGGAATTGGGATGTAGACTGATCTTTTCCAATCCTCTGGCCACTGCTGAGTTTTACAAACCTGCCGGCATATTGAGTGTAGCACCTTAACAGCGTCATCTTTTAAGATTTTAAATAGTTCAACTGGAATGCCATCACCTCCACTGGCGTTGTTAGCCATGCTTTCTAAGGCCCACTATTCTAAGGCCAGTATTTGTATATTCACTGTTGTTAGCTTTAAATACTGAATTTTAATGATGTAAGCTGTGCTGGGTCCTTTTTTTTGAGAAAGGCAGGATTATTATATTTTAAATAAATAAATAAACACTCAAAAACTAGAGGTTCCTCTCTCACACAAGAAATATGCAATAAGGCTGTTACTGCTACCCCTTAGTCTGCTGATGTCAAGAGATCCAATCCCCCAAACAATGCTGGGAGTCACCAATCTTCACCTGTACTGAAGGTGAAGTTTGTACTGTACTGAACACAGGTCATAATAGCTGCTAATCAGAAGATCCATTATAAAGTATGTATCACTTCCAGATGACCAGGGAGGCAAACTTTTCTTAGCCCATGCAATATACGGGCATGTGGGCTAGTATCATTTAAAGACCTATCTGCTATTGCATCTCCCTTTATGAGCATAACCGCCCAGAATGGCCTTGTAGCCTGATGAGTGGTATAGAAGTTGAATGAACAAAGAAACAAATAAATATGAAGCCAAGATCTCCATCAGTGACATTCTGAGGAGAAAAGTGAATGCTGTTTCTAAGACAGCAAGCTTGTCCTGGTTACCCCTCTGAAAGGACAGGAGAGGAATGTGGGACAGTTAAAACCAGCAAATTTTGGGGCTGCTAGGCAAGCTTTTCAAAAGACATTCCTACACAGACCCCACTGCCTCCCTCCACTCAATCCAAACACTGAGCATCTGAAGTCTGGTGTCTACAGAAAGATTTGTTACTCTGGAATTCCCATCACCACTCCATGGCCAGAACAGCAATATTCTAGCCCAATTATCTTTAAACTGTTGCCACTGTTTACAAGGTCAGTATCCCAAATTGAGTAAAACAATCTGCCAGGGAGTTTCGCAAGATGCCAAGTGCCCAAACAAGACAATGAATGAAAACCAATTTAGCTTATAACTTGGCACAGTTAAAGGATACAAAGTGGCCATCAACTGAAACAGGGTAAGTTTGAAAAATAAAACAAACACTGATAGGCTGAGAAGGGGTGTGCAAAATGCTCCTTGTGGGCTACACATATTCCTGCAGTGGCATTTCTGTAGTCTCATAAACAACCTTTAACTACCACTAGTCTGGAAGAAAAGGGGCCATTTTCATCCTTGGAAGTCTCCAGGAACACTTTAGGAACCTGGGGAAGCGATGCACTGAGAGCACAAATCACATTTTAAGCACCAAACTAGAAACCAGATGTGCACATATGAGTAGAGTACTTCTGCTCTTTCTTAAATGAACGATGCTGGCTATTTTTAGGACCAGTGCAACCTGGCGTGAGATCTGGGGTCTCGGACATGGTCCCCAAGCCTACTGATGCTGCCCATCCCAAGTCTAAGAGATCCTTTAGGATCCCCAGTACAACCTGTGGCACACTGTATAACAATGTATAATGAACAATTTTCAATACAATTAAGTGGCCTCCCTACAAAGAAAGCCATTGATTTATGAATAACTTAAAAGTGTGCCTTGCTGTCAGACTCTTGCACTATACCCGTTAAAAGAACAGTGTATGGATAAAAGCATGCAGAAATTGTAAGAGCAGAATGTAGTGGTCTTGCTGGAACATAAAGTTAAACATGCAGTGAGTCTAGAACAGAAACTAGGGGAAGAAGTGTAAAATGGAAGGCGGAAAGAGCCTGTGGCCAAAGGAGAAAACTTGAATGACAATGTTATTTAAGTTGGCAGAAACAGAAAGGAAACTGTTTTGGCACGTATTCTACAGAATTTAGAACGACTGTCTTCTGAGAAGAATGCTTAGAGCTGCTTGTGTGATTTGTGTGGGAGTGGTCACGCCGATTTAGGGAGAGGGCTACTGGATACATATGAAGAAATTTGTCGAAGCCTTTATTAAGAGTGACACTAGGGAAGTCAGTGGCTTCCATCTTTGGTAACAATGGCAACTTTTCATGTCCCAACATTGAAATAGAGATCTTCTTGTAAAATCCCAAAGTTCTTCCTGTAAAATCTTAGCTTGGACTCAAGCCCATTTTTCTCCATATTTTCAGTGGAATATATACTATTTAATATCTGCATGTAGAAGTCCACACAACTGAGTGTTCTCCAGGTCACTCAGCACAGTCACAGGTTGTCCACTTTAATAAGAATGGCACTCAAATGCTTCCCTCTACAACTTGCTTCTCTCTCGTTCAGAAAACAAAAAATGACGCACAATGGTGTGGCTACACCTAACTACAAACAAAGGAGCAATGCAGGATGGATAAAAATCATTCTTTTAAAAAAGCATAAATGAACCAAAATTATTGGAGATGGAGATAAACAAATTGTAAAAAAAAAATGTACTGTGAAAATATATATTAAGGTTATAGAAAGCACCGGGCAATTCATTCACATGTAAAAAAAAGCAAAACTCCGCTAGATTAAGTCAAGTCAAAGCAAAAATTTTAATCAACTCTGGAAGCAATGTTTCCGAGCCTTGCAGTTTGAGAGTCCAAGCTGAGGAAAAAGATATCTAGGACTTAAATGTGATTGATATCAAAGGAGGAAGTTCTTGCTTTAAACTTGAATCACCACCTACACTTCAAACCACACATTGCAGATTGAGCAGTTAAGGTAGCAAGCCAATTTTTTACTCTCAATTTAGATCTTATGCTTAAATTTCCAATTTGAAGACATACTTGAAATTTGTTGTGTCTTATACATTCAGTTCTAACTAGAAGATGTTCTACTTATGAATGAAAGAGATATACTAGTACAAAGGATTTAAGAGTAAACTTACCTTTACTCCTTGGATTAGTCCATTCATTAAAAATGTATGCTTTGGGAAGGTTTCATGCAACACCTGTAAAATAAATATGCAAACAGCATATTACAGTAGGACATTTATGAATTCACATATTTAGACTAGCAGACTCATATACAAATACAAGTTATTAACTAAAATTACCACCGACAAACCTCTCTCTACACAGGCAGAACGGATTAACTTTTGCTCACAGCAGAAAGATCTTACTACCTCAGACAAACCATTGGAAAAAGCATATCAATATCTGTAATGTACAGTGAGATGTTCTACATAAGTATTGGGAAGGAGAGTGAGGAATGGCACATTTATAGTTAAGAGAGTGCAATGACTGCAAATTTATTATGTTGCAGTCATAATAATAATTAAAAGGCAGCTCTTTTTCTGTCGTGACAGAACAGTACAATTAAGCATTGGCAACTATGCAAACATTGGAGAAGCATTAATGGCCAGGAATTTGTTTGCTAGGCACATTATTGTCTTTGCATGCTCTGCACAACTTGCAGTTGTGTGGCACTGTGGCCTGTTCCTCCATCTAGAATTCGGGACTGTGTGTTCTCTGTGCTGTACAGAATGAATGACAAAAAGGTTGAGGCTTATGGATGGGTAGATACAACAGATTTGAACAATTAGAAATTAAAAATGGTTGTGGGACCCATAAGCATCCGTTTAAATAGATCACAAAAGAAAAAATTCATATATCAGAAGCTACTAGTACTGTATGTGATTTTATGGTCTTCACTCACATTTAAATGTTCCATTCTTCACAGCACAAATGTATAGATTTCAAAGCTAAATGGCTAGAGGTATCAATCCAAGACAAATTTGAATGATGACATCAGAGAAGAAAAAGCAATTGCCTCTGGAATTTTTGAACATAATTAAATGTTTGCAACTATTTGAGAAACACAGCTTTTATACTAATATCTCTGACACATGGCAACCCTTTCCAGGATTTTCTAGGTAGAGAATACACAGAGGTGGTTTGCTATTGCCTTCTTCTGGGGGCATTATGGGATTTTGCAGCTTGCCCAAGATCACACAGTGTGTCTCGAGTCATGGAAGGCACAGTGGGGAGTCAAACTCCCAACCTCTGGCTCCGCAGCCAGATACCTAAATCACTGAACTATCCAGCCACCTTTCACCAGGTACAAGATTATCTGGTTTATCAGGAATATGCCACCTGGATATTTAAATGAGAATAGAATGCTTGCCTGAGTACAAAATTTACTATAATAAAATGCCTCTTGCACACACATTGTTATATAGTAACTTTTTAATTTATTTATACCAGAAAACAAAACAACCAGAAAATAAAAACAATCTCAAATATCTAAATACACAGTGCTTCCCCTCATTGGGAGTAACAATCTACTGTATATCATTTACCATTGTGGAGACTTATCTCCCTCCCAAAACTGTATTGATGATTGCAACTGCATTTTGCCACTTGCTTTTTGGGGAAATCAACAGTTTCTCTCTCTACATCTATCAATCCATCTCTTCCTATTACCCTCTCTTAGGTTTCATATTACATTCTAGTAATTTTCATCCCTGTCCAGCTTCGCATCTGTCTCGTGTGACTTCATCCCCATGTATGCACACAACTCCATCCCCTGTGAGTGGGCTTCTGTCATGACCAGAACCAAAGGGGCTGAAAACCATCATTTTTGTGGAGGAGGAGGAAAGCTGTGTGGAGGGAGGCGGAGTTATGTGCGTGCCGCCACATTCCAAGTGTCCCTATATTAATGTCCCTGCATTAATTGCTCAACTGGAAATTATAAGGTGTTTTGCAATTCCTAGCAATCATCAATCTTGCTGCTTTTATTAAACTGGAAATTGCTTGTTTAGTTGTTCAATTACCTTCCTCCTTTTAAAATAATAGCACTACTTTAGGAAACACAACTGAGTTTAACTTGCTTATTTCCTTAAAAACAATTGCCAAAATTTCAATATATTCTCACTACATTTGAAAATAAGTACAGTGGTGCCTCGCAAGACGAGTGCCCTGTTTAACGACGAAACCGCATCACGACGAACTTTTTGTGATCGCAAAAGCGATCACTTTACGATGGTTTCAATGGGGGAATTTCACTTTGCGACGATCGGTTCCCTGCTTCGGGAACCGATTCTCGCAAAATGACGATTTTTGGCCAGGTGATCGGTGGTTTCAAAATGGCCGCCGGGTTAAAAAAAGGCTCCCAACTCTTTTCTGGGATGGATTCCTCACTGCACGGGCAGCGAAAATGGCTGCGCTATGGAGGATCTTCGCTGAACGGTGAGTTTCAAGCCCATAGGAACGCATTAATCGGGTTTTAATGCGTTTCTATGGGCTTTTTAATTTCGCATTACGTTTTCGTTCTACAGCGCTTTTGCTGGAACGAATTAACGTAACGCGAGGCACCACTGTATCCCACTTTCTGGTCTCTTTAGCACATATTAGAGTAATTACCATATATTTGATTTAATTTTATTAGAATTAAGTACCAAACTAACTTATAAAAATTCTTTCATCCTTACTGATATAGATTTCAATATTCTAATGTTCCATACATTTTTCCAAGTACTAATACTTATTTCTTCTCCTATTCTGAATCCCTATAATGATTTAAGTGAGTTCTCCTGATCTTTTTCTTCCAATAATACGAATTTTCCTTATTATACCTTTTAATACATTATCTTCACTTTCCTTTTCTAATTCCTTCATATTTTGTAACTTTGTCACAGTTACTATTTCTTTTACCCAGTGCTCTGGCCACTGCTCTAGTTGAATAATATTATACCATATTTTATCCATACATATCACTTCTTTTATTTGCTCTTTATTCTTTATCTTTCCCAACCGATCCTTTATTCTAAAAAAACTGTCTCTTTATTAATAAATTCTCAAGCAATCCTTTTAGGTTTCTTGGGAATTTCCCCAACTCTACCACTAGATGTAATGGGAAAACTGGTGGGATAATTTTTTTTACTTCTTTTCCAAATCAAGAGCATATTTTTAAAGAAGGGATTTTCTATTTATTTTTTTTTACTATTTTCAAAAATCTGGTATAAAGGAAATGTTTACAGAGTTCAAATACAATATTTGTTTCCATATTCAACCAGATTAGCTTTTTGGACTGAGAGATAATATCCGGCATATGTCTTAATTAATAGACTATAGGTAAAGGTTCCCCTTGACATTTTAGTCAATCGTGTTCAACTCTACGGGGCGGTGCTCATCCAGTTTCCAAGCCGTGGAGCCAGTGTTTGTCCAAAGACAGTTTCCGTTGTCACGTTTCCAGCGCAACTTAGATTCGGAACGCTGTTTACCTTCCCATCGAGATGGTACCTATTTATCTACTCGCATTTACATGCTTTCGAACTGCTAGGTTGGCGAGGAGCTGGGACAAAGCAACTGGAGCTCACTCTGTCGCGTGGATTCAATCTTTTGACCCTGCAGCACACAAAGGCTTCTGCAGTTTAGCCCGCAGCGCCACCACGTCCATCAGCGCCACCACGTCCCTAATAGACTATATACTATAGCTATACATTAAGAAGTCCCAACACTTCTACTTTTCGAGATTTATAATATTTTCTCTTATTAATCACTGACTTCTTATCTCCATTACAAAATATATTAACCATATTTTGCCAATCCTTTGATTCTCCTTCACTAGTCTTCATTGGTAGCATCATAAATAGAAAATTTATTTTGGGTATTATCTTCATTTTGCATGCTGCAAATCTGTCAAACCATGAAAATCCAACTTTCCTTAAATCATCAAACTTATTTTTTGATTACTTGCTTCAATATTTTGAAATTCTCCTCCTTCAATGTTTCCAAATTAGTTGGGATATTTATACATAAAAACTTAACAGTCTTTCAAATATTGTACTGACATCCATTTGTTTTCTATTTTTTTCTCCTTCCTCTTTGTTATAGTTAAACACCATTATGTCTGATTTATGACAATATATCCATATCTCTCCGAATTCTTTTAATATAGTTTTACACTCTTCATAACCTTTAAAGGATTTTATACTGGTAAAAAATTATCATTAGTGAATAAACTAATTTTTAAAAAAACTTTTTAATATCAATACATAGAATCTCATTATCTTCTCTAATAACAGTAAGTAATAAGTCATAACTGAAGCAAACAATACTGGGGAAAGGAGGCAACCTCATCTAGTACCTCAGTCTGAAGACATCTGTTATCGCATCATTTATTAATACTGCTATGGTGTTCTTTGATCTTCTTTAAGGTACAGCATTCAGTAATAAAAAAATATTCAGTACTAATACTGCTATAAACATCTTTGCATCTTGATTTACTGGTGAAATAGGTCTATAAGGTTCAGGGCCAGCAGAGTCTTTATTTGTTTTTAGAATTAAAATTATAATCAACTGCTTCCAGGATAACAGAATCTTTTCTCCCTCCATTACTTTGTTGAAAAAGGACTTTAATTTAGGTACCAGCATTATCCTAAAAAAGTATAACAGTTTTGGTCCCAATCAATCCATTACTGGTGTGTTCGCTATTATTAATTTATAAATTATTTCCTCAATTTCTTCTTTTCTTATTGGCTGTTCCATTATACAGTATCTCCATCTAGTTCTAGAATTCTAATGCCCACATTTTTCTCTCTATATTTCCCAATTCTTCCTGAAGTTAACCTCCCCACAGTATATATTTTCTGAATTTTTTAAACAAGGCCTCTAATTTAACTCTCATCAAATTATACATTATACATCTATTGCTTTTGACTGCTCACTTTAGTCCCACTCTATGCAGTCTCTCCAAATTCTCTTCTACACAACCAGTCTTGATGCCACTGTATTAATCCACTGTAATACTGCATCTCTGAATTTTACTCTATCTTCGGCTATACCTTCCTGGAATCCATGAAGCTTCACATTTTTCCTATTATCTTATCCTATATCTGCATTTATTTCTCAGTATTCTTCATTGTCACATTCAAATCTTTTTAAATTGTGGCAGTATGTTTTTGTGCGTTTTTCCATGTCTATTTTATTTTCCAAAATATTATTCTCCATTATTTTTTAATTTCTGCTAATCTAGTTTCTTCTTTTGCCATTTTAGAAATAGCTCCAAACTTTTCACTCTGAGCCAACACTCTATTATCAGACCACCCACTTCCTCCTTTCAGTGTTAATACTCTGTCCTGCAATTTATCAGCAAGTTCAGAAAGTTTTGCTTCCTCCACAGAAACCTTATCAAAACTGTAAATCTCCAAAAACACTTCAAAACCTTCAGCATTTCCTACCCTGTGTAGCCTTGCTGAGCTGGATTCTAAACATTTAGTTTTACTGCAGTAATTTGGCAAACAGGATGAGATGTTCATATTTGGCAAACAGGGTGAGATATTATCATATTTTCAGCCCACCCTCCTTCTGTCATTTTGTCATTCACCTGATGCTGTCAGACTTTCCCACAAGGGGATAGCTCAGTAAGTATTTTCTCACTCCTTGTCCAACAACTGCTAATATTCTACATCTCCTGCTCTTCCAAAATATGAATTGTACTCACAATTTCATAGCTATATATAGGAAAATATTTATTAATCTCTTTTTGGTGACTGGAAGCCAACTGGCTCAGGTACTGATCATATTCAGACTGGAAATGGAACACTCTATCTTTAATAAAACATTTGACTAAACACATTTATAGCTACAAATAAAAAAGAACATATGACAGGAAAGTTTGCACAAGTTCTTCTTATACGTGTTGTATCTCCCTATTACTTAATGAATTTCCCCCTTCAGCTTTTGTATGCTTAGGAAAAATGGCTCTTCTAAGCATTCTCCCGCCCTCTGTCTGTCTGTCTGCATGTTTCTCATTTTGTTAATCATTTGGTTTTGGAATTAGAAATGAAAAAACAGTCATGCACTATCTACTCAATTTATACATCCTGGTTTAAAGCACTATTGTCTCTTAGGCTGATAAAGGGGAGCTTGGTCTACTTCTGTTTACTAATTAGGATCTTAAAACCAACTTCAGGCAACAAGTACGACAGGATATGAAGGGTGAGCTGAGAGCACAAAACCCAACAATTATTACCGTGTTTTCCAAGCCAGGGACATTCTACGATGAAACACCACCATGGACAGACAAAGCCCAATTTAAGTCAGAAAACAATAGTTAGCCCAATTTAAGTCAGAAAACAATAGTTAAAGTGGCTGATATACTATTGCTACCAAACTGTCGAGGTTTGTACAACATCCTTGCAGAGTACAAGACATCTGTGTGCACATCACAGACTGTTTCAAGTGGAAAACTTCTCTGGCCAAGTACAAGCATAAGTTAGAAACAGTGGGTGAGAAAATAGAGCCTCTGGTCTCAAACGAGACAAGCTGCCAAGAGGAAATGACATGAATATACCTAAATGACCCCTATCAAAATTACACAGAAGACATGAATACCCCAGCCAAAATAGCTCTTCTCACAGGATAGTCCTCCAGCAGAACAGACATACAGACTAGATCTCTCTCTCTGTGTGTGTTTTAATACTACAAGAATTGCCTTGAGATCAGAGAAAGCAAACAGCCTAGAATACTCTGCATTTTTGTAAACAGTCTCCGCCCATCTTCTTCCAGTTTAGCCAAGTAGCCCATTCAAATTCTACTGTCCTTGGCCCTCAGATAGGATTAGCCAAGTGGGCAGGATCATAACAACATCAGAACAGGTAAAGTAGACAAATAACTGATAAGAGACCAGATCACTTTAATCAGCCTCGCAAAACCAGATACACAGTAGCCATATTAACAGCTGTGGGATAAATCTTCTTGCTATTCCTATCTCCACCTAAGCTCTCCTCCTGCTGATTCCTGCCAGGCCCCCTTGTGCTATCTTCATTATTTCTGAGCTGAAATCCCTACATTAGTTGCCCCCAGAATCCTGAACTTAGCTAGAGAATCCTGCCAGTCTATGCTGCTCTCCTGAATTCATGGATCTTGGCCTAGGACCTCGGTTTACCTGTCCTCTCCTCAAATCCTTGCCCAATAATTCCCTCACATTATTCTAGCTGGAGTTTCAACCCACCCCAACTTCAGTGTGAATATAGTCTAACAAGACTTATGAAGAGGTAATACTTATCACCCCTAATCAATCTTCTGGAAGCATTTTCCTCACACGCTGGGGGCTCCTCATTCTACCTTTGTGTGTGTGGTTTACGGAAACATCCTTTCTTTCTTCTTCTTATCCTTATAGCACTCCTGCAAATCGACTGCTCAGCACTGCAGTATTTCATAGTGCAGCCTGATTCCAGGACTCTCTCAGCCATGTGAGTACAGTTCTTTTGAGTCTATATTTCCCAATATTAATTATATACTTCCTTTTTGAATCTTTACTACTACTCCCCCCCCAAAAAAATCACTGTATACATTTTAATTCTAGCATGTTCAATAAAATTCCTCTTGTGAATATCTCTGTGTAAGTGTGATATACTCAGTCCAATCTGTCTCACCACAAACTACTATCATGATTCAAACATCCCTTATGGGCATGTCTCTGAACATGTGTGAGTTTGTACATGTGCTCTGAGAGCATATCTGGTAATACTATTCAATATTTATAGACATAAAGCACTCCAGCTTCACAATCTGCCACAGCAACCTAACAAAGTGCTGATCATGCATGGCCAGGCACACAACCAGCGCCTCATCACATCACTGCAGCAGCTTCAGACATTGGAATACCACAAGTATAAACAATGAACAGCATAAGGACTAATGAATAAAAAGGAAGGAAAAGTATTACTTACCACTAGGGTAGGTGCTGTCAAGAGTCCCCAAGCAAAAAACTCCAGAAATATAACTATCACAGCATGGTAGACACTAGGTGAACCTATTCCTTGAGGCTAAAAGAAAGAAATTGGGGGGTGGGGGGAAGAGTTATTTTGACAGATTCAACAGTTATTTGACTGATACAACACTTCACATGATTATTTTAACTTATTATGATTATCCTAACTTAACGATTATTTTAACTTAACTTATTATGTTCAACAATTTAAAGGTGGTGTTAAAATTTAACAAAATTCAAAACACACCCAAGATAATTTATGAACCAGAATGCAATGCAGAACAGTATTCTGGCACAGACTCCAGAGGAAGCATCAAAATGTTCCACTTTGGCCAATAGCTGAAAAATACAGATTCAAAGATTTAATTTTATGGATCAGAATGCCAGCTGCTTATTACTGGCTATCTAGGGACCATCATGTGGTACTGTGATAGATTTTCTCACTTCTTTTTTCCAAGAAAATTCTGCATGGAACCATAATTAATTGCAATTACAGGGATAAGGCATGTTTGAAACAAAAGAAGAATTAGATGAAAATCTTAATTACCTCAGGTTTTCAATTACTCATTAAATAAGATTAAACTAAAAATTAATCCAAACATCACAAAAGTACAGTTTCATACCAAACACATAAAATGAAAGTAACATTTTTATGAGCCTACAGTTTTTTGTCTCTCCATTATTAGACATTAGAATCAAATGTTTTGAAGTCCAAGACTACATGTTTCCCTGAGCGTTGCAGCAGGGCTCAGGTATAGCAAATAAAAATTGACTACAGGTATCTATCTAGGCACATTTTCTGAAAATGTCACACAAGCTCCCTCTTCCGTAAAAGAACAGATAAGCAAAAGCTAGAACGCCTAGCTGCCTATCCAGCAGAGAAAAGGATATACACATAGAGATCAACAATCTTATTTGTCCGGTCATAAATGTGAAGGGGCAGATTTCCAAACGTGAAAGAAGCCCTAGATTTCCCTCTGCACTGGCATTAAAGAGGGTGGGAGAATAATCTCCTGGTCCAAACATGAGCTAAACATGTCTCTGTGCTTGCCAGCAACTAGAGCTTCAATTACCCAGCAGATACAGAGACAAAGAAAGCGCATATACTTCCAATGTTTTCCATCAGTTCTGTATTGGAAAAGGATGGCAGAACCATTTCTGTTTTTCTCTTGACGTGCCCTTGTCCATGTCTAAGCAACAGAGACATGCCTGGCTAACAATAAATAAGAATTCATTGTGGCTTCCAAATACATGTATTAAAAACAGCAATTACTGAATCATAATTTTCCCTTTTTCTCACTTCAAAACTCTGCCTCTTCCAACAATATACTGATTCTTCTTTCTAGCACAGGACTCAAAACTAGAAAACATCTAGGCAAACATAATGGAGCACACTGCCTGTTGCCACCCTAGCACTTCCTTCCTCTTCTAAGAGAACAAAATTTAGAGGGAAATAAAAGGCACAGTGAAGCATCACTTTTTAATACTCATGTCTGCGGTCAGAGACTTTGTAGAGGATTGAGGCACCAATGGTAAACAAAATATCTGACAATGTTAAAGGATCTTACACCTATTAATACTGGTCCTAGAGTTCTAACTTCTAGTACACTTGCTTGGAACTATTGAAAGCTTAACCTTAACTATTACTGTACATCACACCCAAGAACTATAGAGAACAAGCAGCAGTATGAACAAAAAGAAGCAGGAATTCATAGCACAGTAATATGAATTTTAGCATACAAAGGTCAGAGAAGCTGTGTTAAGATTTCTTCCTTTCTTCAAGGAAGTTACTTCCTTCGACTATTTTAAGACACTGCATTTACACTTTCTCAAATAGAGTTAACATTTTCTTAGAGCTTTCAAGACTAAAGAAAACCATACTGAGAAGACAAAAATATTTCTTAATACAGTAATTCTAAGAAATACTTGTAAAGAAAAGAAGTCATAGCATCATCCATTTTTCCTTATACCACTCAAACGACCATAAATAGTTTTATATAAACATAAAAGCCATCTATGTTTCTAAGCAATTTTAGAATCATTCACAAAGGCAGTTGGTTGGGAAGCCTGCAGCTGAAGACCACAATGCACACAAAAGGTGACAGCTATGTTATATACGTCAACCAACACAGAATAACAATTACGTGTTTTCTTCAAGTGCAGGCATCAAAACAAGTTTACTCCAGACTGAAAGCACAGTATATGCTATCTAAGTAAGAAATTGAGTATGGTCATAACTACAGAGCTCTCCTCCTACATGAAATAAGCTGCCTGACAAACTGAGATACTGTATTGGTCCAACAAGCTCATTTTGTTTGTTTCCTATGCTCTTGTTCTTTGGGAAAGACTTTGGGTCATTCTTGCCAGCTAAGTCCTTATTTTTTGTTGCCATCCACTGATGGATTCCTGCTCTACTGTTCCAGTTTCTAGTCTATTACCTACAATCTTATCCTCAGTACCAAGTATCTCCTTCACCCACAGAATTCACTTTAACAATCTCTCAATCAGGTTTGCAAGTCTCCTAGTAAACATATTCTCCAAGCTCCAGGAAGGTGCATCTCAACATCTGCTAGAAATCTTTCTTTACAGAAGCCCATCGTACACAAAGTCAAACTTTTTCCGGTGACACCATCTATGCAATCAACTGTTCACTTCTAGTATTCCTGACTTTTTTCCCTGGCCCTGACCTTTTTTTAAAGTATTCAAAAAGGGTATTAAAAGGGTATTTTAAAAATCCCAAGATTATAGTAACTTGTAGTATGTTGAAGGTTGTGTCCAAAACCACTTTTTATTCCCATGTGAATCAGACAAAAGGGATGATGGTCAGTAGAGTTCATGAATCTTGACAAGATCTTTGTTGTGTCCTTGAACTTCACGCAAAGGAGACAGCCCACCTACTGAAGCATCCTGTCAAGTCTGCAAACTGCTGCTTCCACCCCCTCAAAATGAAGTCACCTACCACCACCTGTCTCCTCCTCTGGGCAGTAACAAAAATCCTTCTATCTATAAAATCCTCCATGGTCACTTCCGTGCCCTTTGTTGTTGCTGTTCCAGCTGCCCAGAATCAGGGTTCCTCGTGAGGACCTGATATCAATTCTGTAGCTCTAAAGACAACACTTATTTCCATAATCTTGTTTCTCTGTGTCACATTTCTCCAAGTGGTTGTGTTTTGCACTTAGCATTATTCTTTTCCCCTAGGGGCATCCTCCTCTTTGTTCTTCCAGAAGAGTATGTTGAACTCTATTTAGATATGCTTCTTTTCCCCTGATGCAATGAAATGTGGACTGATGGGCTCAAAGCTGCTCTACTTTCCTTTATAGAAGGGCAACCAGCTAACTTCATCTTCAGGCAGAAAGACAAACATGCTACTGTACAGGTCACTACAAAAGCTCCTTGAACATCCTTTTTTTCTTGTTCTAGGCAGAAAAAATACACCTGATCTCCAACTCCAATGCCCCACTTAGCCAACCTGCTCTCAAGCTCCTGCAGGGAAACTGAGTGCAGCTTTAAACTTGGTAAGTGTTAGTTCCTCCTCAAATAAGTTGGCAACTCACTTCCTATAAGCGTCCTTGCTACCACCAGTAGAGCATATAGCTGCAACCAAATAAAGAATCACAAGCACACAAACAAATCCAAACAGAACACAAAAAACAGCCTCAAGTTAACAGTCTTACCCTCTTTGTCTCTTCCACTTTGGAAGTTTTAGACAAGCTCGGATCTGAATCTAGAAAACTTCAGTTGGCTGGAAAAGGTATGTATGAGATCTAAGATATCAGCAACAGTGATCTGAACCAGAACAATAAGCAAGAGATAGATTTTTTTTTAATGGAAGGTTTTAGAATAAGTAGTATGGCTGAATCAGAGATAGGAAGTGTGGAAATACAAAAGCAAAACTCAAGGCTAATTTTAAAAAATCTACATCCTTCATCCACTTAATTGTAACACATATAACTTTGAATATCACCAGTCTTTTGAAAATGCAGACATTCTCCAGAGAAGGTCCTAGTTCTGGTCAAAACTGGACAAGAAATCAACACCAAGGTTCTCTCTAAAGTGTTTGCCTGCACATGTGTGCGTGCCTCCACCTCCCTCCCCACATGGCCCCTCTTCCTCTGCACACTCATAGCAATTGTTTTCAACCTCTTTGGTTCAGATCACTACAGAACCCTGCCCATGAGAGACAGAAAATTAGAAGGAACGTTGATCAACACTATGAATTCAGTACAGTAAAAAAAGTCAAAAGTCAATGTATTGTGACTGCTTAGCAACTGTAAACAAGAACATAATGATAAGTAGCCAAGATGCTTTAGTACGTTGTAAACCTGAATATTGTGGGGCTTGCCAGTATCTCTTTTCTGTGTAAGATTATTTAAAAACAAAACAAGCAAATGTAAGCCACAAATATTGTCTCAGCCACTCTTTTCAGATGAAAGATGTATCTCAAGGTACTATGCAATACCACTTGAAATGAAAATACTGTAGTTTAAAAGTTGCATATATACAGTGAAGAGACATCCTTCTGCTGGGTCCTGCATTTCTGAACCACCACTACTTGACATATCATCTCACAACTCAATCTGCTATAGATAGATATAGATATAGATATATAGATATCTTTTTAAAATGTCAAATACTTTACTACCTTTCTATATGTGACTTGTTATCTTTAAATATTGTCAACCTCTTACAAATAGCTAACAGAATTTATTGGGATACCATGTTATCTGTTCCGATAGAAAAGTGTCATTCATGTAAATTAGTCACATGAAATTTGCCTGCTAAATATTTGAAATTTAAACTTCTGAGTCAAAGCAATGGATTATCAGTTTGGACAAAACATATTACTGTTCATAAACATGCAGACATAGTATTTTCATCATTACCAACACAAGTGGGAATACCACACCTGCAGAAAAACAACAGCAGAACCAGCTGAGGCTAAGATAGCTACTCCCAATGATAGCTGCCTCACACTTCAGGTAGCAATAACATTCGAAAAGTGTAAACAGAAGACGTGTCCCTACATAGTGGACACAACCACCAAGAGTCTTAAATGGCTGGAAGTCCCTGATGCCTATGCATTTCTAACTACTGTACACATCTGTTTTATATGCTACTGTATAAAGTACTGATATAATTATACATCAAGTGTAAAGTAGCTCTGGTTTAGCAAGAAACTGAACCCAGACTTAACTGAAAAACCAACTACGGTAACCATGTCAGCTGCCCGCCAGGCACATTGACTTTCCTCAAGTTCTTAAATACATAACAAAAACAGGCAGAGCTAGATTCAAGTCATAGCAGTATTGTTAAGAATGTAAGCAATTTAAATATTTGTGTGGGGGTAGCTTTACATTATTGGCACATGGTTAGTTTTGTTTTAAACTTTTGTACTGTATAATTGGCTAATATGTCCACGGGTGTGGGTGTTTTTTTTAAAAAGAAGAATGCATTTAAGGAATAGTAACTACTGAAGCAGCAACAGTAGCCCTGAACAACAGAACATTGTACATCAACTGCCAATCCTACATGAACTACCAGATGGGTCCAAACACGATGAAAAACGTAAAACATTTCACTTGCTGAACACATGTATCTGTGACAGGAATTCATAAATGCATAGTGGCCAAATAGGCAAAGTGTAATAGAAAGATCCAATCTTTCTACTCCCAAGCAGCTGACAATCAGAAGTAAACAGCCTTCAAAAGTCAAGTATCCAATTCTGTCTAGCAGTAATAACTTCAATTTACACCAAAGTAGTTATGCTACAGAAACATAGCATATGAAGGGATGCTAATACAGAATCAGGTTTAAAGCTCCTGAACCAAATTAGGTCCCCAAGTGCCAATACTATAGTAACATAGTGAGTTGGCAGATCACCAGCGACTTCACATTACAATTGTATCTTTAAGGTGCACAGCACTTAATACTGTAATGGAGGTAAAGTTTCCCCTTGACATTTAGTCCAGTTGTGTCCAACTCTAGGGCACGGTGCTAATCCCAGTTTCCAAGCCATAGAGCCAGCGTTTGTCCAAAGACAGTTTTCTGTGGTCACGTGGCCAGCGCGACTAGACATGGAACACCGTTACATTCCCACCGAGGTAGTACCTATTTATCTACTTGCATTTACATGCTTTTGAACTGCTAGGTTGGCAGGAGCTGGGACAAGTGACGGGAGCTCACTCCGTTGCGTGGATTCGCTCTTTCGACTGCTGGTCTTTTGACCCTGCAGCACAGAGGTTTCTGCGGTTTAACCCGCAGTGCCACCACGTCCCGCAATAATGGAGGTATAACCATTATAACCCCTTATCACCATTCTGACATGCCTATACACTTGCAGCTGGCTAGATAAGTTCAGTGGTTGAGGTATCTAGCTGTGAAGCTAGGTTTAGAGTTTGATTTCCCACTGTCCCTACTGTGGGTAGATCCAACCTGTGTGGCCTGGGGAAGTTACAAAGTCCCACAGTGCCCCCAGAAGAACGGAATGATAAACCACTTCTGAGTATTCTCTACCTGGAAAACACTGAAAAGGGTCACCATAAGTCTGAATTGACTTGATGGCACATTGTTATTATACACTTGTAACATTCAAATCAAAGACCTCTGTCTTTTCACCACTCCTCCTGATGGCAACTGAACACTGCTGAAAATTCTGTATATTTCATATTGAGTTAATGTGCAACAAGGCACTCTACATTGGCTTCTGAGCTGTATTAGTGTACTGAAAAGTCCACTTACGTTTTTCTGAACCTTCTATTTTAAAAGTTGTCAAAGAAATTATTCTTAGGGTATGGTAGGCCAGACCTATAGCACATGGAGATACATGACTGTATACTCCCTATCAGATCGATCCAGAAACAGTAAGAAAAACAACTAACCATGTTTAATTGCCCAGTGGATCTAGGTAGTATTATCATAAAAGGCACACACAGGGAGTTGAGGGTCTTGGTATTCTGAAAGCAGACCAGCCCACCTTAAAATAAAGGGACACCCCAACACATTTAGACGACTCTCTGAACACACAAACTATACAAACTAAAGGTTAGGATTACAAATGAATCAATTCAATTAACAGTGAACATGATCAGAACACGTGAATCAAAATTTACTTTTGGATGAGAGAAGGAATGACAACAAAAACACAGTGTTGCACATGTTCAATAATTTTCCTTAACCAGCACCCCGTAAGAGCCCTCCAAGGAGCGGGGAGGGGAGCCAAGGCTTAATGCAAGTTTATTTGATCAGTAACGGGGGCCAGAAATCAGCGGCAAAAAAATCTAGACAAACTGGTAAAATGGGCAGTTAAAGCATTCGCCTTCGGATTGAACACATGGCAGTTAAGCCCCAAGTAAAACCGGTTTGAATCTGAATTGGTATGAAGGCACATCCACGGACGGGACATGCTAACAGGACTCTTCTGCCCCGAACCGAGGCCTCTCAGGGCATTTCAAGCGGCCGGCGTCCCCCTGCTCGCCCGCCCACCCATTCTTCCCTCTTCCGCTGGCCGGCCTTCCTTCCCGGGGCTGGGTCGCTCCTCTCCCCCGCCATTCTCCTCACCGTGCCGCCGTCCTTAATGATGATTTTCTTGGCCAGCAGGATGCTGCGGTTAGCAGCCCTTTTCTTCTTCTTCCCCGCTTGGGTCATTTTACCATCCTTCTGGAGGGCCGAGGAGGTGAGGGCCAGGCAGTGAGAGGGACTCGGGGCCGAGGCGTCTCCTCTTTCTTTCCCGGCGCTCGCCAGGACTTCGCTTCCTCCCTGCCAGCAACAGCTTCCCTCAGAAACCCGCCGCCGGGCAGGATGCTGCGGTTAGCAGCCCTTTTCTTCTTCTTCCCCGCTTGGGTCATTTTACCATCCTTCTGGAGGGCCGAGGAGGTGAGGGCCAGGCAGTGAGAGGGACTCGGGGCCGAGGCGTCTCCTCTTTCTTTCCCGGCGCTCGCCAGGACTTCGCTTCCTCCCTGCCAGCAACAGCTTCCCTCAGAAACCCGCCGCCGGCGCCGCCATCTTGGCGAGAGGGCGGGCGGGGGAGGGAGGGGGGAAGAAGGGAACAACAACCCCGCCGCAACAGCGGAGGGAGCCGGAGCAGTAACAGAGGCTCACATCACGCGATCACCCGATTGGTCAGGGGGCAGTACACGTGAGCCGATAGGCCCCTCCCCCGTGGAGTACGGAAGGGGAACCAATCGCCTCCCTAGACTCATTTTCACCAGCCGCGGCGTCTGATGGACGCACGTGAGGAGCGCAGACGTTGTCGCTTGCGCACGTTGCGTTGGTGACTGCTTAGGAAAAGGGCAGTAGGAGCTGCGTGAGGGAGGCGTGCATTCTGTTGTCGCCATGGAGACGCCCCGAGAGGGTTGAGGTGGTTCATCTCGTGCTTACCACGGCGAAGCGGGGAGCTCTGTGGCCTTCCAGATGTTAGAGGATGCCGTCCGCCATCCCTTAGCACCTACCTGACGGGTGGGGGCTGATGGGAATTGGAGTCCCAACAGCGTCTGGGCAGCCAAAGCTGCTCCTGCTTTGTTTTAGGCGCCGGTGTGTGAGATAAAAAATACGATAGGAAACTCAGACATGCTTTTGGATCCAAGATGGCCAGGCGAAAGGGAGGGACAGAAGAGGAATTGTGGCTACTGAGGAACATGCGGCCCTTCAGATGCTATTTAACTTTTCCTTCTTCCGTGGACTCCGCCTTGACTATGTTAGATACAAATTATGGTTTTGTAGTTTAACAGGGTATAGAGAGGCACATGTTCCCTTTCGCAACAGCTATACAGTATTAATTCACGTAGATTCTTCCTCTTGTTTATTTAAGATGCACATGTCCTAAGTCTGCAGCTCTCTCTTATTTAACCATAACTCTGAAGTACATACATTCATAGGTCCCACTGTGCCGTCGCCAGTGTGCTCATGACAGAGACCCCAAATCTTCCGTCTAAAAGTACAGTATGCGGGAATCATGGCTGTGTTGATTTCCTGTCATTACCATGGCTCAAAAATGCACATTAAAAGCTTGTGATGAGGCTCACAAACTGCCCAGAAAAAATACATATGGGTTACAAAACACTGATCTGATATAAAACAATGGATCATACTGAATCTATATATTTTCATATAAACTTCATCTTCAGCAAGTTGAAGCTTATGAAGCTGAGGTTTGTATTTCTAGCTGGACAAGTGGTGTGATCAACTTCACTAATGACAGTTTGCTCCACTGATTTACTTCTATAGGATTCTGGCCATAGTAAAGACATTTCCTAAAAACCCACCATATAATTACAGATGATTCTTTAGGACCCTGTGATTGCATGCCACTGTGGCAAAAAATGTGGATCTGAGCTTGGGTAATTTGTGTATAGACCATTTAAAAATTACCTTCTAAACCAATCAAAAATCTTAAGAAAGGGATTTACAAATCTGCTTCCAAAAATTTGCATCTGCTTAATTGTGAGGGAAATGTGAAAATGTCTTCATGAAATGTCTTGTGTTTAAATGCAATTCAGAATCTCATTTATAATTTATGAGACACATCACACATGTTTCTTCATTTTAATTCTCAGTGGAACAAATATGATGGGACTCTGATCATATTTCACTTCCTTTATGCTTTGGATAAATAACTTACAAAGTTGCTATGTTTGCTCTTAGAGTACACAACATATGCCCAAACCCCAGATAAATGCACCACACACCAAATATTGTTGATTGTAACGAGAAAATCTAATTTATTAATAGTGCGACAGATAGTCACAAATACTTAATTACTTAATTATGGGTTCGTAAGCTGACTAGTTTAAAATGCAGTGCTGGAGGAGAGATACCCAGGACTGCCAGAAAGACAAGTGAGTCCTAGATCAAATCAAGCCTGAACTATCTCTGTAGGCAAACATGTTGAAACAGTGTCCTACTTTGGGCACATTGTGAGAAGGCAGGATTCTCTGGAAAAGACAATAATGGAAGAGGTGGACAGCAGAGGGAAAAGAGAAAGACCAAATACAAGATGGACTGACTTCCTAAAGGAAGCCACACGCTTGAGTTTACAAGAGTTAAGCAGAGCAGTTGGGGACAGGACAATTGGAAGATCACTCGTTCATTGAGTCACCATTGACAGCTCATAACAAGCCAACTAGTCAAAATGTCTCCCAAATTATGAGCTGGATATTTTATTATTTTGTTTTATTTTATTAATTTATATTCCACCTCTTTACTTTGAATGATCAAAGGTGGCTTACAGAATGGACATAAAAACAGCTAAAAGCCTAAATAATTTGCAATATTAAAGCACTGTCAGAATATTATATTAAAGCAAACACTAAATTACCATAATTAAAAAAGCAAAAAAGAAATACAGCATCTCCTAGTAAAAAGCTGTTCCTCATGAGTTGATTGATCAGTAGGCAAAGATAAATAAATAAATTATAAAAAGTCTTTGCCTGCTGGGGGAAGGACAGCTGGGGTGGGCAGGGGAAAATCAGTACCCTAAAAGGAAGTTCTATAGCCAGGGAGCAGCTACCAGGAAGGCCCTCTCTTGTACTGTGAGGGTGGTGGGACAGAAAGAAAGGCCTGTCATGAAGATCTCAAGACCTTACCAGGCTCATTTGAGAAGGTGCAGTCCTTCAGATATTGTGAACCCAAGCTATACTGGGTTTCATACATCATAACCAACACTTTGGATTGTACTAAGAAATAGAAAATGAAGCTGTTGTGGCAAATAATTTGTATTCTTACTATACAAATCTGATTTCCTTTTATGATGGCCAGTATTTATGAGCCAATAAAGAAAACTATCAGTCCATAAATTACGCTATAATTTCATATACTTCTTGAACATGTTCTCTGTTGCACGGCGTGGAATGAATATACAAACATTATGAAACAAGTTTGTTCACAGATATAGTGACACCTTGTGGTTGTTAAGAAAAACAATACTGTACAGTATTCAAGAACACACAGTACATTGTGTACAAAGTCCATATAAATGTTCCTTTTGTTTGCCTCTCATTATTGGCTGGGAAAGGCCAGTTCTTACAGATTATAAGTCTCATCTTATGTTCAGCAGGAGCATGTATGGCCACCAGATAAGTTTATGATTTAGGATTACATGGTACAAATGATAGAGGAATACATGAAGGTATTATCAGCTGGTGTTTCCTTATGTGGTATATGAATCTAGGTTAGCTCAAAGAAAGAAATGCTGTGATTATACAAATTGTACCGCCATGTATTTCTGTGACACCCGTTCCCCGGGTCATGAGGTGATGGAAATGAACTGACCTTTTTGCTGATGTAGATGTAGAAGCAGAGTGAAATCACAGGTAGTGACTGGTAGAAAAACCTTTATTATGAAGCCTGACCCACTTTCTAAATCTCTGCAAAAGAGAAATAGTGAAGTTTTATTTTACCTCAGTTTTAGCTGACCTATTTCCTACACTGGAATAGATTGAAACCCAAAAAATATGTAATGTCTCACTATTATGGAGGGAAAATTGAAATTGGAAAAAATCAGTATATATGTATGTATTTGTATACCGCCTCATTAGTGCAAAGAAATATCACAGATTTGGAAATCATCACCTGATCATCAGCCTGACTCAATCCCCCTCAAAATTTGGATCTCACTCAGCATGGGGTTTGCTTCTGTTCCTCCTGCTATCCAGTCCTTTTTACCAGTTTTCCCTCCCATATTGAAATGATATACCTTTGTAAAGGAGCTGAAGGACAGGGCAACCACCTGCAGGGTCAACTGGCCAAAAGTAGGAAAACTAACTTCATCCTTAACTGGAAATGAACTCCTTAAGCTTGTGCAGAAGTATAATTTCCAGATTGGAACATGAGATTTAAAGATCCTCATACAGGAAAAGAGGATCTCTTTGGACATGTTGTCTCCTATGTGCTTTCATATGGAAGATATTCTAAACCTCACTGGGTTTTTTCCCCTCTATTCCGGAGACAGACAGGAAGAGAGAGCTTTTCTCTCCTTTCATCTTGTTCTAGTTCCTTTCCTACCTGTACTATAGGACAGCGCTACAGATCTGGATGAAGATTCCACAGGCTTGTCCACAGACTCCTGAATGACTGCAAGGCACACCTCAGGGGGGTCAGTCTTCCAGCCAAGATCCAACAAAGGGGAAATTAAAGTGAATATCCAGAATGGGTCACAGCAACTGGGGCAGCCCCTTGAGGTGGATCCTATCTTGACCAGTTCTCTTGCCTTTCAAATGGTATTGTGATGTCCAGAAGCAGCAGCAACATAGGGGATAAACATGGAAAGAACTTAAGATTTCCTTCCCTCATAAAAGGCTAACTAAACTGTGAATCCAGAATTTTGTTCCTGAGTTTGCATGATGGTGGTGCAGGAGGTACACAATTCTGGGATAACATCCCTTTTTCAGAAACACTGAGAAGGAAGAAAGCACAATGGCCACAGCATGGCAGTCTTTTAAGCTGCCTTTAAGAAAATGAGACTTTTGAGGGAAATCATTCTTCCCTCCTCTAACATGGAGAGCATCAGGGAGCTCAGACCCAGAAAAGGATGCACCTGAACATTGAGGGCAGGTACCACACTGGGAAGGACAGTTGGAAAACAAAACTAAAGCAGGCCAATTGCCTCTTGAAATGCATGCTGTGTTGTCATTCCCCTCCCCCACGTCCAAGCCCAGTCCCTTTGCCAAAACTGTCAAGGCCTCCAGGAACCATAAAGAAATAGAAGAGGCACTTCCTAGCACCAGCCTTCTCTTCTAAAAGGGAGGATAAAGAGTTGGATTCTTCTGTTTCTCCACTACCCTCAGATTTAGAAGAGAGAGAGTTCTCAGCAGAAGGATGAAATTAGCGAACAAGCTACCACTTCTTCAATATCATTCTTATTGGAAATTTTGAGATTCTAATAACGATATTAATGTATTAAACTTTAAAAGCCCAGAAGCACCACTTAAGTCTAGTGAACCAGACTTTCTGAAGGGTTTGAAGGAAGCATTCAGAAAGGCTACCTGCCAACTTTCAATTTCCTTTGTTCCTCAGCCATTATCTTGGCAGAA